TTAAAATAGTATATTGTATTATACATTCTATAACATACTATGAATCATATGTACAAATTTGATAAAATTTACATATAATCTATAATATGAATTATTTAATTATATGATATATATAATTTTATATAGGGTTTATATATATCAAACAATACATGCACAATGAAAATTTACATAAATCGTATCATATCTATCTGCTGACTTATTTGCCTTTCCTTACAAGAACGTAAGGCCTGGATATGACTGAGCGACTTTCACGCTCACTTTTTCACAAGAACGTAAGATCCGCAAGGCAGGGGCTTTGTCTTGCTCTGTATTTTGCTTTACTTCCAACTCCTAGAATGGCTCCCTGTACATGAGAAGCAGCCAAATGGTTGCTGAAAGAATAAATATCAATCTTTGTCTTGCTTTTTAAATTTACTATTATGTTTCTGAGATCTCTATCCACAAAAACGTGTATACACACTTATATCTGTATTCTTTTCCTAGTTCATTTTTTTTCAGTGCCATGCATTACAGATATGTGAAGTGAAGTGAAAGTCGCTCAGTGATGTCCAAGTCTTTGCAACCCCTGGACTGTAGCCTGCTGGGCCTCTCTGTCCGTGCAATTCTCCAGGCCAGAATACTGGAGTGGGTAGCTGTTCCCTTCTCCAGGGTATCTTCCCAACCCAGGTATCGAACACAGGTCTCCAGCATTGCAAGCGGATTCTTTACCATCTGAGCCTCCAGTTCAGCTCAGTCATGTCCGATTCTTTGTGACCCCATGGACTGCAACACGCCAGGCTTCCCTCTCCATCACCAACTCCTGGAACTCGCTCAAACTCATGTCTATCAAGTTGGTGATGCCATCCAACCACCTCATCCTCTGTCGGCCCCTTCTCCTCTCACCTTCAATCTTGCCCAGCATCAGGGTCTTTTCCAAGGAGTCAGTTCTTCGCATCAGGTGGCCAAAGTATTGGAGTTTCAGCCTTCAGCATCAGTCCTTCCAATGAATATTCCGGACTGATTTCCTTTAGGATGAACTGGTTGAATCTCCTTGCAGTCCAAGGGGCTCTCAAGAGTCTTCTCCAACACCACAGTTCAAAAGCATCAACTCTTCGGTGTACCTGAGGTTATTGATATTTCTCCCTGCAATCTTGATTCCAGCTTGTGCTTCATGCAGCTCAGCATTTCGAATGATGTGCTCTGCCTATAAGTTAAATGAGCAGGGTGACAATATACAGCCTTGATGTACTCCTTTCCCAGTTTGGAACCAGTCCTTTGTTCCATGTCCGGTTCTAACTGTTGCTTCTTGACCTGCATAGAGATTTCTCAGGAGACAGGTAAGGTGGTCTGGTATTGCCATCTCTTTAAGGATTTTCCACAGTTTGTTGTGATCCACACAGTCAAAGGCTTTTGGAGTAGTCAATGAAACAGAAGTAGATGTTTTTCTGGAATTCTCTTGCTTTTTCTATGATCCAACGGATGTTGGCATTTTGATCTCTGATTCCTCTGCCTTTTCTAAATCCAACTTGAACATCTGGAAGCTTTTGGTTCATGTACTGTTGACACCTGGCTTGGAGAATTTTGAGCATTACTCTGCTAGCGTGTGAAATGAGTGCAATTGTGTGGTAGTTTGAACATGCTTTGGCATTGCCTTTCTTTGGGATTGGAATGAAAAGTGACATTTTCCAGTCCTGCGGCCACTGCTGAGTTTTCCAAAATTGATGGCATATTGAGTGCAGCACTTTAACAGCATCATCTTTTAGGATTTGAAATAGCTCAGCTGGAATTCTATCACTTCCACTAGCTTTGTTTTCAATGATGTTCCTAAAGCCCACTTGACTTCGCGTTCCAGGATGTCTGGCTCTAGGTGAGTGATCACACCATCGTGGTTATCTGAGTCATAAAGATCTTTTTTGTATAATTCCTCTGTGTATTCTTGCCATTTCTTCTTAATATCTTCTGCTTCTGTTAGGTCCACACCATTTCTGTCCTTTATTGTGCCCATCTTTGCATGAAACATTCCTTGGTATCTCTAGTCTTTCTTGTTCTATTGTTTTCCTCTATTTCTTTGCACTGATCACTGAGGAAGGCTTTCTTATCTCTCCTGCTATTCTTTGGAGCTCTGCATTCAGATGGATACATCTTTCCTTTTCTCTTTTGCCTTTCACTTTCCTTCTTTTCTCAGCTATTTGTAAGGCCTCCTCCGATAACCATTTTGCCTTTTTGCATTTCTTCTTCTTGGGGATGGTTTTGATCACCTCCTCCTGTACAGTGTTATGAACCTCTGTCCACAGATCTTCAGGCACTCTTATCCATCAGATAAAATCCCTTGAATCTATTTGTCACTTTCACTGTATAATCGTAAGGATTTGATTTAGGTCATACCTGAATGACCTAGTGGTTTTCCCTACTTTCTTCAATTTAAGTCTGAATTTTCCAACAATGAGTTCATGATCTGAGCCACAGTCAGCTCCCACAGTCAGCTCTATGCTGACTGTATACAGCTTCTCCATCTTTGACTGCAAAGAATACCATCAGTCTGATTTCGGTATTGACCATCTGGTGATGTCCATGTGTAGAGTCATCTCTTGTGTTGTTGGAAGAGGGTGTTTGCTATGGCCAGTGTGTTCTCTTGGCAAAGCTGTTAGCCTTTGCCCTGCTTCATTTGGTACCCCAAAGCCAACCTTGCCTGTTACTCCAGATATCTCTTGACTTCCTACTTTTGCATTCCAGTCCCCTATGATGCAAAGGACATCTTTTTTTGGTGTTAGTTCTAGAAGGTCTTGTAGGTTTTCACAAAATGTTCAACTTCAGCTTCTTCGGCATTAGTGGTTGGGGCATAGACACGGATTTCTGTGACATGAATGGTTTGCCTTGGAAACGAACAGAGATCATTCTGTTGTTCTTGCCATGCCGTCCCCCAGGGGATCTTCCCGACCTGGGGATCAAACCCAGGTCTCCGCACTGTGGGCTGACCCTTTCCTCTCTAAGCCACCAGGGAAGCCTGAGCCACCAGGGCTTTGTACATTTCCGTGCCCATTTCCCTAATGGAGGGCACTTACCTTGTTTCCACTCTTGCTATTATGCAGTGTTGTAGTAAGCACCCTGGGCACCGGTCTCCTGAGGCACGTGTGGGAGGTTTCTGTAGGGTATGTACACCCAGGGGAGAGGTGTTGACAGTGAACAGGCTGTGTTTACACTTTGCTGGCTGCCTGCCATGACTCTTAAAGTGAACACCCCAAATGACACTCCCAATCACAGAGGATATGGGTGCCCTGTTTCTCAGTCATTGCCGACACTTTATATTGTGAGATGATTTAATTTTTGCCAATCTGATGGGTGAAACCTAGGGTCTCTCCTTTGTTTTTATTGAGATCATCGTAGATTTGCACATGGTTGAAAGAAATAATACAGACAGATCAGATGTACTCTCTCCCTGATTTCTCCTAATAGTAACATCTTGCAAAAGTACAATACAGTATCACGACCCGGATATTGAAGTCACAAAACCCACTAGTTTTGTTCGGCCTTCCTGAGTTTTACATGGACTCTGTGTATGTCCGCTGTCGTGTATATGAGAGTGTCTCATGTGTAGGTCTGTGTACCCGTCTCTGCCATCAAGAGCTGAAGGGCTGCAGATCTGGAAGACACAGATCAGACTGTGACGCCTATCCCCTAGGAGGAACTGGGACTGCCTTATTTCTGAACTAGTGTCTCTTGACTGCCTTTTCTTTGTTGCTGCTTCCCCTCCCTTCCCTGAAGATGCTCAATCACCGGGGCCTGTTCACGGGCAGTTATCGTGGTCAGGCCTCCATCACAACATGGCTTCAGCCAAAAATGGCTTCCTTTATGTCAGCAAAGCCAGGTCTGGTTCCCTTTCTCCAGGGACCCCCTGATGCTTCCGGTTACACAGTCTCCGACTATCACAAATAAAGCTGCTGCGAACACTTGTGAAAAGGTTTTGTGTGCACGTGATTTTCATGTAGTGTTTCCCCGTCACAGTGAGGTTGGACACCCGTCATGTGTTTGTAGGCTATTCAGGTTTCCTCCCGTGAGAATGGCTGATTTCGCTCATTTTTGCTATTTTCTTCTTGCCCTTCTCTGATAGACTTGAAAGAATTCTCTTTTCTGTATACCAGTCCTTTGTCAGTTATACAAGGTTATGCTTGTTGACAGTTTGGTGATCATTGTTTCTCAACATGACATAAAGACTGGGAATTGATAAAGAGCTTCTGAGACATGGAGTTGGATACTGACGAAAGGACAGAGGGGCTCCGTTCAGGCTGCCTGCACTCCATTTGGGGAGACGGCCACACGCACCCCCTCCCCCAGGCTCTGTAGCATCTCCTCTGCCTCTGTCATACGCCAACAATATGCTTTAACGGCGGTGAGCATCACAGCCTCTGCCTGCTGCAGGGTAAACGCCAGGCATCTTTACGTTTTTGTCTCATTCAGAGGAGGCATTTGGACTCACGTTGCGTCACAAACCCCTGCTTGTCAGCATTCTACCCGCCCTGGAAAACTGCTGACTTCATGATGTACTTCCTTCCGCATGCTGCCGTTCTTCCCAGCGCTGCAGCCAGCTTAGACTCCTGACTCACCCTCCAGCCAGCCACTGAGAATGCTGATGATTCTGGTACGGTCAGTGCTCTCCAAGTGACTTTGATGGGGGAAACAGCTTCTGGACAAGCCCAAGCCGGTGCAATCTCAGGTGCCAGGGAGGCCTTTTCTAATTGTCTCATCACTCAGCGTCTTACTCTTCCTGCCGTGGCAGGAGCGGAGGCCGTGCCCCTGCAGTCCTGGCCGTGAAGCTGTGCGCTAGACGAGCAGGCGCAGCCTGCAGTCTCCTTCTGAGCTCAGCGAGCAGCCTCTCCCATCTGCACTGGAGCCCTGGCTGGGGCGCAGGACCCACGGCGCGATGGTCTGCAGAGCTGGGTTAACGAGTCCAAAGTCGGCCTGCCTTTCAGTAAATTACCCTGTAAAGCATTCATTGGCCAAAATTATCTTGATTAGTTTCTCTTATGCATGCTGTGCTAAGTCACTTCAGTCGTGTCCAACTCTGCGACCCCATGGACTGCAGCCCGCCAGGCGCCTCTGTCCATGGGATTTTCCAGACAAGAATACTGGGGTGGGTTGCCATGCCCTCCTTCAGGGGGTCTTCCCCACCCAGGGATCGAACCCGGGTCTCCTGCACTGGAGGCAGACTCTTTACCACTAGCACCACCTGGGAAGCCCACTCAAAGGTCTCTGGTGAAGATCAAATAGATAAAATATATGAAAATGCTTTGCAAATTCCACCATGTTTTATCAAGATAAACTGAAATTAAGATCAGTTATTTTTGGCCTCACACATGTCATGGAATTCTTTTTTCTACACTTATTTATTACAAATAACAGAAATATTTTGGACACTTGAATCAGAAATCATAGCATTTCTATTGCACTTGAAGAGTGATCGGAAGAAATCTTTCTCTTTGTTTAGGGGTTGGTTTCCTCATCTGATGCAATAAGAGTTCTCAGGGGACTAAAACTGACTCTAAAAGCTACTGATGCTGAAAATTTAGCCAAAATGAAGTTGCTTTGGGGGGCACAGCATTCAGAGACGGCTCTGGACCAACCTGAAACGGGTGGTGAGTTTGGTCGTCCCTGTGCTTCCTGATTTCTTCTTTCTGGACACTCCCCAACCACATCTAGTTTCCTTGGGACTTCCTGAGTCAACCAGGGCCGCTTCCTTCTCTCTTCAAGGCTGACCAGCCCATTCCATCAGGAGCTAGGAGGTCATTTGGTATGCTAGGATGATAACCTCATTTACATGAAAAGTGAAAGTGAAGTCGCTCAGTCGTGTCCGACTCTTTGCGACCCCATGGACGGTAGCCTACCAGGCTCCACGGTCCATGGGATTTTCCGGGCAAGAATACTGGAGGGGGCTGCCATTTCCTTCTCCAGGGGATCTTCCCAACCCAGGGATCGAACCGGGGTCTCCTGCATTGCAGACAGATGCTTTTCCATCTAAGCCACTATAGTACTTCATAAAGTAATAAAACTTTAGTAAGAATTTAGTGTGAGAGGATCATGTACCACACTCTGCTGGGCAGTTCCACCTTTGCTCCGTTATTTAGCTGCCATCTTATTCTTTGAACCTATGAGGTTTAGAAACCTTATAGATTCTAGCACGACCTCCCTAGATAGGCTCTAGAAATGTTTTTTAAATAAAAGTAGCTGGCTGATTTATTTATGTGGCTGTGTCAGGTCTTACTTATGGCACACGGGGTCTTCTATCTTCATTGCAGCATGTGGGATCTGGTTCTCTGACCAGGGATCGAATCTGGGCCTTTTGCATTGGGAGCACAGAGTCTTAGCCACTGGGCCACCAGGGAGGCCCCAGGATCTGGGTATTTAAGTAGGAGACGTTAGCATCCTGACCAACTGTTTTTCACAGGTGAGATGCCTGGATGCTCTTACGTGGTATATGACAGGGCATCAACTACGATCGGGTCGCGCGGTAATAAAATCTGCTCTCAAGCCTTTTCAATCCTTCCAGCACCAAAGAGAGGTCTCAGTTTGGCGTTTGCCAGCATTTAACTCCTCTGCGACATTGTACCTAACCTTCGGAATGAGGGGCGCCTATGTCAAGTGGCCATCCTGGATGTTATCATTTTATTTTGATAACATAATATATGAGTTAGAGTGTTTTCTCACTTGTGTAGTAGGGTCTGCTCTTTTTGTCTTTTTTAGACATACACACATATTTTATTTTCTGGCAGAACCACCTGAGAGAAAGTTGCAGACTCTGCACGTTGTGTTTACAGAGATGTAATTGACATATAACATTATACTGGTTTCAGGTGTACATCGTAATGATTCGATATTTGTATGTATTGGAAAATGATCACCACAAAAGTCTAGTTAGCATCCATCACCACGCAGTTACTCACTTTTTTCTTGTGATGAGACTTTTAAGACCTGCTCTCTTGGAGCGATAAATCAGACGTTTGGGATTAACATATACACACTACTATATATATACAATAGACAGCCAACAAGGACCTACTGCATAGCACAGGGAACTATTATCAATACTTTGTAATAACCTGTATGGGAAAAAAAACCTGAAAAAATAGATATAAATGTACATGTATAACTGAGTCACTTTACTATACACCTGAAACTGACACAAGATAGTAAATCAATTACACTCCAATAAAAAAATTTTTTTTTAATTCTTACCAAAAATTAAAAAAGACTTATCAGGACCACCCCCCACCCCCGCGGTGGTCCAGTGGTTAAGGGGTGCAGGTTCCATCCCTGGTCGGGGAACTAAGATCCCGCATGCCACATGGCACAGCCAAAATTTAAAAAAAAAAAAAAAAAGACATATTCTCTCAGCAACTTTCAAAGATGCGATGCAGTATCATTAACTATAGGGTTTCTCCGATGGCTCAGCAGAAAAAATCCCCTGCCTACAAGCCAGGAGAGGCGGGAGAAGTGGGTTCGATCCCTGGCTCGGGAAGATCCCCTATAAGAGGAGATGGCAACCCACTCCAGGATCCTCGCCTGAAAAATCCCATGGACAGAGAAGCCTGGTGGGCTGCGATCCAAGGGGCTGCAAAGAGTCACACACGACTGAACACACATGCATCTTTAACTGTATTCAACATGCTCTACACTATGTTCCCAGGACATTTATTTTATACTTGGAAGTTTGTACCTTTTGACCAGCTCCGCAGATTTTCACCAGCCCACTCCCCGCAAACCCAGCAACCCGCAAGGTGCTCTCTGTTTCTATGAGCTCATTTTTTAACTCTACATATGAGAGCTCATACAGTAACTGTCTTTCTATGATTTATTTCACTGAGCATAATGCCCTCAGGGTCCATCCATGTTGTTAGAAATGGCAGAATTTCCTTCTCTTTTTTAATGCCTGAGTAATATTCTGTTGTTTATAGGTACATAATTTCCTTATCCAATCATCTGTCAAAAGACACTCAGGTTGCTTCTGAAAGCTCCCTCTCACAATACTAAAATGTGAGTCAACCTAAAAATACAATGAAGTAAATGAGAGCAGATAGTGTGTGTTAGTTGGTCAGTCGTGTCCGACTCTTTGCAACCCCATGGACTGTAGCTCACCAGGCTCCTCTGTCCATGGAATTCTACAGACAACAACACTGGGGTGGGCTGCCATTCCCTTCTCCAGGGGATCTTCCCGACCCAGGGATCGAACCCGGGTCTCCTGCACTGCAGGCGGATTCTTTACCACTGAGCCCCCAGGGAAGCCTAACTGAGAGCAGAGGAAGCACGAAGCTGAGCAGTCTCGACAGGTGGGTGTGACAAAACGGTGTCTGGGCTGTGCCGCGGAGCCAGTGTGGGAGCCCTGGGGAAACCGAGCTGCCCCGGGAGGACAGCTGCGTGCGGGGCTGCGTGCGGGGCGGGGCGGGGAGCGCTCCCAGAAGGGGCTGTGGAGAGACCCACCCCCACATGGAGTGTTTGCTTGAAAAATTCAGTGTGGCTGGCAGCTCGTTTTGACACAGGCAGCATCTCAAGTGCAGAGTAACAGTCTGTGTGTGCGTGCATGCACACTCAGGCAGCGCCTTACACACCTATCATGACTGGAAGATTGCAAGAATAACACAGTGGTGGAAGCCTCTCTCAAACAACCCAAGGGTGTTTCTGCCTCGAAGGGATCTGGAACCCCACTGCAGGCAAAGGTTTGTCTTTGGTTTTCTCTTTTATGCCATTTTCACACTCCTTTTCCCAGTCTATTATCGCCCCAGGACACTCAGGGAGTCGCCCCACTGAACACAGCCCACAAACCCCTCTGCTGCAGAGATTAGGGGACATTTGCCAGTGGTGTTAGCTCTTCCAGGGTTTCTTCCATGGATTCCTCTTGGAGACCCCGTTAAATCCATCATGGTGGATTCCATAGAGGCTGACAAATACAGTCTCCTCAAGGTTCTCCACGTATTATCCACAGACACTTACCTACTTTTTCCTCCCACAATCTTTTAAGACCTCTGTACGTTCTTCTATGAAGGACAGGTGGGTTTACACAGGGACATATGTAAACATATGTAAACACATGTTCCTATTACATAGTAATAAGATCTGCAAGGGGCGGCCGGGAGAAAGGAAATCTGAAAAATCAAGTCATAGGGAATTTTTGAGAAAACAAGTGTTAGTTTCATTACAGGATTCTAAACTGTAGACCCTCCAAGGTCAAGGGGAGGCAAGATGGAACTCAGGTTTACAGAAGCAGTGCCTGGCAGCGGCTCCTCACTGCATGAACAAGGGTTTTATTGTCCCTCTGTGCGGCACTCCTGAGGTTGCCCAACTGCCCATGGGCCTCAGAGCCAGCACTTCTCAGACCTCACTAGAAAGTTGCTAAGACAAGGCATTTTCCACAGGCCTTTCCTGTCTCCAGGTCCCTTCCAACATCATTCCAGTGATGTCACTGGCATGGGCTTTATGCTGCCTTTGCAACGATGATACAGCAAACAATGTGGAATATCCAGAACTGATGTTAATACAAATAGTTTTTCAAGGGAACGTTGACACTTAGCTCACCAGAGGGTTGTGACTTTAGAATAATCTATGTCAGAAGCACTGTTTACACTGTGAAGTGCTATCCATTTGTTAGTCATGATTATTACAACATTAGAAAACAACCCAAGGACCTCACAAGGAGATTGCACCAGGCCATTTTTACTCTTTGTGACAAAGCACTGATTCTTCAACATTGGTGGTCAGTTAATCATTTTGGCAAAATACCTCAAGACTTGCCATCTCATTCACTCTTACCATCAAATGAAGACTTTTATGAGAAAGTGGGAAGAATAGAGCCATTTTTAATATCCAGATATGCCATAAAAGTCACCCTTTTATAGTACACACTTCACTGGGTTTTAGTACTTCCACAGAGCCATACAACCGTCACCACTAACTAAGTGCAGGCTGCTGCTGCTTTTCTTAGGGCAGCTTTAGGTTCAGAGTAAGTTTGAGTGGAGAGTACAGAGTTCCCCCATCCCTGCCCTGGAAATCCTGGCAGCCAGCACTCATTTCACTCTCTCCTGGTTTTGCCTTTTCCAGAGTGCCATAGAGTCAGAATCTTAGGTGGCCTTTTCAGATTGGCTTCTTTCACTTGGTCTTAGGCATTTCCTTTTTTTTCACAGCTTTTCATGGCTTGATAGCTCATTGCTTTTTGGTGCCGAATAACACCACAGTTTGTGTATCCATTCGCTTACTGAAGGATGTATGGTTGCTTGCAAGTTTTGGCAATTATAAATAAATATGCTATAAATGTCTGTGTGCAGGTTCTTCTGTTGAC